ATATCCTCTAGGTCCATCCATGTTGCTGCAAATGGTAAGATTTCATTCTTTTTTATGGCCAAGTAATATTTATATTGTGTATATACCCATATGTGTACAGTGTATATTGTATATGTACCACCTTCTTCATCCAGTTGTCTATTAATGGGCACTTAGGTTGCTTTCAAATTTGGGCTATTGTAAATAATGTTGCAGTGAATATAGGACTTCATGTATCTTTTCAAATTAGCATTTTGGTTTCTTTGATAAATAACCAGAAGTGGAATTGGTGGGTCATAAGGTAGTTCTATTTTTAATTTTTTGAGGAACATCCATACTGTTTTCCACTGTGGCTGCACCAGTTCACAATCCCGCTGAAGTGTTCTCTTTTCTCCAGATTTTCACCAACACTTGTTGTTTGTTGATTTATTGATGATAGCCATTCTGACAGGTGTGAAGTAATATCTCACTGAGGTTTCAATTTGCATTTCTCTGAAGATTAGTGAAGATTGAGGAACAATTAAGCATCTTTTCATATGTCTATTGGCAATCTCTATGTACTCTTTGGAGAAATATCTATTCAGGTTCTCTACCCATTTTTAAATTGGATTGTTTATTTTCTGGTGGTAAGTTGTTTGTGTTCTTCATAAATTTTGAATATTAACCTCTTATCAGATGTCTCATTGGTGAATATCTTCTTCCATTCAGTAGGTTGTTTTTTTGTTTTGTTGATGGTTTCCTTTGCTGTGCAAAACTTTTTAGTTTGATGTAGTCCGATTTGTTTATTTTTTCTTTTGAGGAGATATATCCAAAATAATATTACTAAGAGCAATGTCAGAGAGTTTACTACCTATGTTTTTCTTCTAGGAGTTTTATGGTTTAGGGTCTTACATGTAAGTTTAATACATTTTTAGCTTATTCTTGTATATAGTGTAACAAAGTTTTATTTTTTTGTATATAGTATATATGGTTTTATTTTTTTGCATGTATCTGTTCAGTTTCCCAACACCATTTATTGAAGAGGTTGTCTTTTTCCCATTGTATATTGCCTTCTTTATCATAGATTACTTGACTATATCAGCATGGGTCTCTATTCTGTCCCATTGGTCTATGTACCTGTTTTTATGCCGGTACCATGCTGTTTAGATTGCTACCGTATTGTAGGATAGTTTGATATCAGATAGTGTGATACCTCCAGCTTTGTTCTTTTTTTCTCAATACTGCTGTGACTATTTGGGGTCTTTTGTGACTCCTTAAATTTTAGGATTATTTATAATAGTTCTGTGAAAAATGTCATTTGATAAATGAATTCAGTAAAATAGCAGGATACAAAATTAAAATAATACGTCTTTTTATAGCAGACTAGCATTGCATTACTTTTGTTGACAATTGTGTAGTCAGTCCATATTGAGCCTTCAGAGAAATAAACTCCTTTCTTAATTCCCACATAAAATGTTTTCAGTATTTGCCTATTCTGTACTTTAATTTCCTTTATTTTTACTACATCTCTGTTAAAATTAATTTTGCTAGTTTCCAGGTTTTAAGAACCATCATTTTCTCATTTAACTATTAGTTATGCTCCTACTTTTGTATCTAGCAATTACTACTACAGTGGGGCCTTGACTTACGAGTTTAATTCGTTCTGTGATGGAGCTCGTAACTCAAATTACTTGTATGTCAAATCAAAAAGTGAACGAGTGAGACACGTGATGCTGGGCTGATGTTGTGGTGTTCACTGTGACGTTCGCTGTGCCAGCTAGCGGTGGGGTATCTGAAGCTGGCTCGTAACCCGAATTTTAGCTTGCAACTCAAAGCAAAAAATCAGCCGAGAGACGGCTTGTATCTTGAAAAACTCGTTAATCAGGACACTCGTAAGTCAAGGCCCCACTGTAGTATACTTTTAATAATATTTAAATCAAGCAATTACTAAATAAGTATAATTTCTGGCATAACCCACAGCATTAATGAATTTGTAATAAGGAAGAATCTATTGCTGTCCAGGATCTTAGGTCTTAAAGACCAGAGAAAGTGGCTTTAGAACAAATTTGAAAGGAAAGTAAATTTAATTTTTCTATTAAAAATTACAAAATCAGATTTTTTTGTTATTTGACTGTCACCTAAAGATTGAGGGACAATTCATTGTAAATCAAGGCAGAGGCCAACAGTGTTTAGATAGAGAACTGCAATTTGTGTGCAGAACTCTGGAGGGTTATGGACCCCTTAAGAACTTGAAGACTTCGTTGTGGCGCAAGTTAGGAAAAAAGGTACAAAAAGAAACTTCAGTGAGAGATGTGGCTCGAGAAGTAAACGGGTGCCAGCACATCCGGAGTTCTGCATGTGGATTCTGGCAGCGAGACCTTGAAAAGTCATGTAACCTCTCAAACTCAGTTTTCTTATTGGTGAAAGGATATAATAAAACCTCCCTTTCCCGTTGCAGTAAAGTTGAAGTGCATTAAAACTCCGCAAATGGTTTCTGATGCATCAAAATCTTAAAAATCATTATAAGTAATTTAAATACTCTTTATCTGGTGGAAAGTTTATCATTGGGCCATTGAATAAAAAGGATAAGTTGACCAAGGATATTGTTATTTACTAATTTTTTTGACTGGCCAATATTTTAGAGGCATTGTGAAAATTTAGTGAGCTAAACATTCAGAATATTTTGTTATTCTATTGCCCAGTATTTAGAAAAGCCAGAAGACTGGTCTTAGATGTTATAAGAGTCTTTATTTGGCTTCATGCAAACAGTATGCTAATTGTATAGAGGGAGCTTTGCAAATGCATATATAAGATACTTTTCTTTGTGAGTAGTCTAGACTCTAGAGAGATTTTTGGAGGGTATAGTTCTAAGACTTTTTTTGGGTTTTCTTCCAGTTTTGTGAATTTCAATAAAATACACATGTATCAATTCTATTGATTTGTAACTTAGAAGCTGCATTTAGCTATTACAAAATTACACTTTTTAAAAATACTGGAAAATAAAAAGTTGAGTTCACACCATTCAAGCTAACTGCTGTTAATATTTTAGAGAATTTTCTTCTAATTTTTCTCTACTTGCATATAATCATCAAACCCACAGAAGGGTTTATTTTAAATGATAAAAGTACAACACCTTTAAGATTTAAAGTAAGAGGTAAAAGTTGAAGACATACCTCCCCACTCTTTTTCCACTTCTCAAAGGTATTTACTATTAATAGCTGCTTTTATTCATTTTTTTCATCTGATGACTTCCTGTTTGAATCTTACCCGTAACAATGGGGGGGAGGGTAGAGGATCCAACCAATATACTTAATAGATATTACTTTAATTGAACTTTATATCAATCTCATTTGATTGGCGATATGAGTAACATGTTAAGGAAAACTATGACTCCAGTGATAGCTTTTGTATTTAATTCATTTTTGTATTTAATTTAATTGGCTGTTTAATCATTAATTGTGTCTGCAATTTGATACTACTCAGTCTCACTACAGCTGCTGCCTTTGGAGCTTGGTACTTTTTATACTTGTTAGATTTGGCTGACATGGAGTAAGTTTACTGCTTACTTCACATTAATTTACCAGTTATGTCCAGACTGTTTTTTTCACTAAAATGTTTAACTGTTACTTTCACTTTGTAAGCACAGATGTGAAATTTCCTGCTACAGGTACCATCTTGTTTTATAACTTAATTACAATATGGCTTTTAGGGGTACATAACATTACCATATACATTTAAATCCTCTTATCAGGGTTAAGGCTGTCAGTCCTGTGCAGGTAATATTTGGAGTTGATTAAATGAATGCCTGATTTTAGATTAACAACCAAATGTATCTTTTCTACCTCTTTAATGTGACACAAATAAAAACAAATATAGCCCTAGCCAGTTTGGCTAGTGGATAGAGAGCCTGTGGACTGAAGGGTCCCGGGTTTGATTCCCAGACAGGGCACATGCCTGGAAGGCAGCCAGTGGATGAGTCTCTATCCCTCTCCCTTCCTCTCTGAAATCAATAAAATATATATATATATTTAAATAAACACATACCTAAGACCTTATTTTTGACCAATATGTTATCATTAAGTAGAGTTTCTTCTACTGGCTGATTGTGCCAGGCCAGCACAGCCAAGAGTTCAGTGAGCCTGAGGAGAGGCAGTGAAGGATTAAAGAAGACAGACAAAATACAGCTGGGGCTCAGTGGATCTCCAGTGCCTGGATGAGGACACAGAAAGACCCAATCTGCTACCAGGTTTTATGAGATCAAAACAAGGGTAGTGGTCAACATGTTTAAAATGTTCTTGTGAGTTTCACCTTGTTTTGGCAGTACTTGTTTTGGTAGCACTTGCTGCACCTCCCACAGCCTATTAGCTACCTAGGAAGGAACTAGGGAGGGCTATAAGGTTAAGCTTAATTAAGCTAAGAGGGCTCTGCCCTCCAAGCTGGGATTTGTTTGTGGCCCTGCCACAAGTCAGTCTGAGGCTTAACCGTAGAGCTGCTCCCTACAGCTGATAAATGGATGGGAATACCTGTGTGAGATTAATAATGCTGTTTATGAAACATGGCTTACTTCCCATCAGTTTAGTACAGATTTTCAACTAGTAAGTTGTTAAGAATTTTTAAAACATGCAATACCTGACTACTGAGTCAGGGACACTGACCTCTTTTCCCTTAGATTGTGAAATAAGAAAATGACAATAGCCAACACAACAGTAGCCGTCCTGTGTGAATGACCTGTTTTAAACCATAAATATATAGGTCATATAATAAAGTTGCATCGTATCAGTCATGTTGCATAATAATGTTGCATCTGGTTGGTTACCAGAAATACTTATATCTAAATACAGACGCCTGATTTTTTAAAATATATTTTTATTGAATTGGAGATGAAGGGAGAAGGAGAGATAGAAACATCAAAAATGAGAGAGAATCATTGATCGGCTGCCTCCTGCATGTCCCCTACTAGGGATTGAGTCCGCAACCCAGGCTGTGCCCTGACCTGGAATTGAACTGTGACCTTCTGGTTCATAGGTCAATGCTCAACCATTGAGCCACACCAGTTGGGGACACCTGATTCTTTTAAAAGTCACTTTGAAGCAAAAAGGTTAGGTAATTACTATTGTTATTATTTTTTTAATCAAAATTATACCTATTTTTTGTTAGAATAGCAAAATATATTTTTGCTGTGCTGTAGAATTTTAGTAATTAGTTTATGTGTGCTATGAGATGCAAAAGGTTGAAAATTGCTGATTTAGCAAGATCTGATCTGATGATCTAAGAACATGTGACCATTCTTTAGGGAGAAATACCTAAGGCACTTTTTTATTTTTTTAATATATTTTTATTGATTTAGAGAAGAAGGGAGAGGGAGAGAGAGATAGAAACATGAATGATAAGAGAGAACCATTGATCGGCTGCCTCTTGCACATCTTCTACTGGGGACCGAGCCCACAACCCAGACAGGAGCACTGTCCCAGAATGGAACCGTGACTTCCTGGTTCATAGGTCCAACGTTCAACCACTGAGACACACTGACTGATGATGTTAGACCAGTAGATGCTATAATGTATTTTTGAGGTAAGGTATAATGATGAATTCTTAACATGATTTTTTGTTTCCTCTTCTCATTTTTTTCTGTCATCTGAAACTTATTTTGTGATAGTACACTTTAAAAAATCATCTTTTTTCAGTACAGACTTTTGTTAAGAATTTGTGAAATTGACATAATTCTCATTATTACATTTTTCTTTTTTCTCTCTGCAGTAGATTAGGGCCTGGCATTTTATTTTCCTATGAAATCTTAATAAAAAAAACACTATTCTTGCCCTGGCCGGTGTTTCTCAGTGGTTAGAGCAGCCGTGGGCAAACTACAGCCCGTGGGCCGGATCCGGCCCGTTTGAAATGAATAAAACTTTTGAAAAAAAAGACCGTACCCTTTTATGGAATGATGTTTACTTTGAATTTGTATTAGTTCACACAATCCATGCTTTTGTTTCGGCCCTCCGGTACAGTTTAAGAACCCATTGTGGCCCTCAAGTCAAAAAGTTTGCTCACCCCTGGGTTAGAGCATTGGCCTGCACACCAAAGGGTCATGGATCGATTCCCAGTGAAGGGCATGTACCTGATTGCAGGTTGGATCCCCGGCCTGGTCTGGGCACATGTGGGAGGCAACCAGTCTATGTGTCTCTCTCACATCAATGTTTCTGACTCTCTCAGCCTCTCCCCACCCCCTAAAAAATCAATGAAAAAAATATACGTGGGTGAGGATTAACAACAAAAAACAAACAAAACAAAACACACCACTATTCTTTTGTTATAGTTGTTTTGCCAGATACAATAATCGGTACAGTTGACTGGGTTTCATTGTGTAATAGAGGTCAGGAAGCCAGTAGTGTACTCCTTATATCAAGCATTATCTGGTGTTCGCGCAAGTCCATTGGACTTTTTTTGGCTTTATATAATCTTTACTTACTGATATGATTTATGATATCTACCTATTTATTTTTAAACTTCAGGCAAGTAGGATAAACTGTGTTGATCTTCTAAAATAATTATCTACTAGGACTTGTATGGGTTTGGTGAAATCCTGGCTTACGTCCCAAAGTAATGGATTTTGAAAAACGTTGTGCTTAGTATCATCCCCTATTTATGGGAAACCTACTTCATCCTTACTGAATATCAGTAATATTTGTACCCCACATTCCCTTTTATGTATTAGACTAGAGGCCCGGTGCACAAATGCATGCACAGGTGGGGTCCCTTGGCCTGGCCGGTGATTGGGGCCTATTGGGGGCTGGCCAGCAAGGGGGAGGGACCACAGGAGGTTGGCCAGCCAGTCAGGGGGGCCGGCTGGCTGAGGTGAGGGGCCGCAGGAGGTTGGCCAGCCGGGGGAGGAAGGGGCCTCTGGAGGTTGGCTGGCTGGTCCCCTCCAATCTGAGCTGATGGGGGGGGGGGGGGCGGCCAGCTGAGAGTAGGGGCCACAGGAGGTTGGCCGGGCAGGGGAAGGGGCTGCGGGAGGTTGGGCCGGCCAGCCAGTGCCGGTTGGGGAGGAGCCGTAGGAGGTTGACTGTGGGAGTGCACTGACCACCAGGGGCAGCTCTTGCATTGAGCATCTTCCCCCTGGTGGTCAGTGCACGTCATAGCGACTGGTCGACCCGTTGTTCAGGTTGTTTGTTTGTAATGGTCGCTTAGGCTTTTATATACTAGCATATAGATACACAGTATTTACATGTTGATTATTTCCTTATTAACACTATATATACATATATATATATTTCCCTCTTCTTTTACCAGTTTCTCAAACAATTAGGCCTGCATCCTAAATGGCAATTTGTCGATGTATATGGAATGGATCCTGAACTCCTTAGCATGGTACCAAGACCAGTGTGTGCAGTATTACTTCTCTTCCCTATTACAGAAAAGGTAATTGTTAAGTAAGATATAAAGTTTTCAGTAAATGCAAAGTTCTCTTTTATCGTTCTATTAAATATTATGCTCTTCTTTAACAACAAATGACTCCCTTCTTGCATAAAAAGAAAAAATCTAGGGAGCAGGGATACCTTAAATATCTAGTTTTATTGAAGAGATGATATTTCGATTTTGATTTATAGACTGACAATAAAACCCTGAGTTAGTCTTTTAAACTTGTGTAATTTTCTTCTTTTAAAAAATGTAGTGAGCCGAAACCGGTTTGGCTCAGTGGATAGAGTGTCGGCCTGCGGACTGAAAGGCCCCAGGTTCGATTCCGGTCAAGGGCGTGTGCCTGGGTTGTGGGCACATCCCCAGTAGGAGTGTGCAGGAGGCAGCTGATTGATGTTTCTCTGTCATCGATGTTTCTGGCTCTCTATCCCTCTCCTTTCCTCTCTGTAAAAAATCAATAAAATATATTTAAAAAAAAAAGAAAAGAAAAGAAACAATTTAAAAAAAAATAAAATAAAAAATGTAGTGAGATTGCCTCAACTATGGTTTGATGTGACATTTATTCACATTTTGATGTATATACTTTAAGAATTTTTTATTGATTTTTGGAGAGAGGAATGGAGAGGGAGAGAGAATCATTGATGTGTCAGAGCTGAACATCCATTGGCTGCCTCCTGCATGCCCCCTACCAAGGATTGAGCCCACAACCCAAGCAGATGCCCTGACCGGGAATCGAACCAGTAACCCTTTAGTGCACGGGCCATCGACCAGCCTACTGAGCCACACTGGCCAGGGCTTGATGTATATACTTTAGAAATGTTAAGTAATGTGATGATCTTAAATCTGTCTTAGAAAATATATGAATAAAGAATATGTTCAAATGTTCAATGTATAAAATATGTAAATCTAAAAATATATGTAAAAAGAAATCTGCTTTTTTTAAGATGATACGTATAACTAATGGCATGGGTTACATTATTTTCAGGATAAACTTGATTTGGGTGGAAACACTAAGATTAAACATAGTTTAATTGGCAGATTTAGGATGTGTTGGAATTATAGATAGTTATTAGATTTCTATTTAAATTCCAGTCACTGTATTTCAGGCCTTCTAGAATGATGTCATATAGATATATGTATTATGGAGCCAGAACATTTAAGTTCATTTTCATACAGCTTGTAAGTCCAAATTTTTCTGATTTTTATTTAAACTTAGAAACAATAGGATGAACTGGTAGTTTTAAAAAATGAAGTAAATGTTTGGGAAGATAAATGAGAAATGAGGTGTTGATGATTTGGCATAAAATGCTCAGGTCATCTTATTTTTCAGTAATAGAAGGAGCTGTGTCTCACAGAAATTAAGAGCTAGGCTTTGCTCAGTCCTAGAAATTCCTGGATCATTTTCTTTATACCAAAACTAATTAACCTCAGTTCAAGATAAAATAAAAAATACTGAAATATTTCTCTTTTTTAGTTAGGAGTACTGTAAAACAAATTAGTTAAAGAAGGGATATTTCTTCATATTAGCTGTTTGTACTATTCATAGAAATTTAGAGTTAGAAATTTCTTGTGGTTATCCAGTATTAGACTGAACACCTACTTTTAGTGGTTGTGATTATTCTGGAATTTGAGGTAGAGTAGGACAAATACTTAAATTTATACTCTTCTCCAGTGTTCAGTTTCCCTTTCTTAGATTGCTAAAATAAGCAAGCAGATACCTACCTCAGGATCCCAATTGTAAGGAACAGGAAAAAAAAAGTCAGCTTCTTACAGCTTAGGCTTTTTAGTTGGTGTGATATAAATGTGAGTCTATATCTGAATTGGAAATTTTCCAAACCATTCATTTTTATGATCTACTTTTTATTTAAAGGAATAAGTAAGATTTGCTCTTTATTTAGTGGGTCATCAGTATTAAAGAGAGCATGTTATCCTTATCAATAGGCCTTCTTCATATAAATGGATCATTAGTACTAAAAAGCTTATTGTATCTATTGCTAGAAAGAACATACACTTCTATAAGTTATTAATAGATACTGATAAGTACTAGAATAATCTATAAATAACTTATAGAAATACTTACATAAGTAGCAAATACAGTGGTATCTGTTACTTTTTCATGTCTCTTACAGTTTGGTAGGTTCCCCATTTCAGCTCATAAGTGACATATTAAAGTTACCCAAGGATATCTAGTGGATGTTTTAAGAGATACAAAGTGTTTTGGTCTTCTGTGTTCTAATTTAGGAACTGATTATGTTGTTGCAAATGGCTTAAGCGTATTAATAGCAAAAGAACTGTCATGGGTACCTCATTACCCTTTAAATAAAGTCAATTATGGTTTTAAATGTGTACTTTATAGTTGAGTTTACCAGCCAAGGAATCATAGTTGGAAAGGCTATAAATTATTTCTTTCTGATATTTTGATTGTCTCTTCACCATGTGTTTTTACTTTGATCTGCCATAATTACATTTTATTTTTTTTCTAGACTTGCTCTGTATCATTTTATGATTTTTCTTCTAAGCATTAAATCTTGTGAAGTTATCAAATATTTTGCTTTGTTAGCAAGGAACAATAATATTAAACAGCAACAAGAAACTGAACTGTAGAACCATACAAACATATCAGGATAAGACCTTACTATATTGAACATTTCAGTTTTTATCAACTGAACTTATATGAATGAAATAATGGTTCAGAATTTATTATGAAAACATAACTACCAGTTTGTACTTCTTCTTTTTTTTTAAAATATATTTTATTGATTTTTTTATAGAGAGGAAGGGAGAGGGATAGAGAGTTAGAAACATCGATGAGAGAGAAACATCGATCAGCTGCCTCCTGCACACTCCCCACTGAGGATGTGCCCACAGCCAAGGTACATGCCCTTGACCAGACTTGAACCTGGGACCCTTCAGTCCGCAGGCCAGCACTCTATCCACTGAGCCAAACCGGTCAGGGCCCAGTTTGTACTTCTTAATCTCTTCCCCTTTCTCACCCGACCCCCTAACCCCTCTCCTCTCTGGCAACCATCAGTCTGTTCTCTGCATCTTTGAGTCTGTTTCTATTTTGTATGTTTATTTACTTTTTTCTTGCGATTCTATATATAAGTGAAATCATATGGTGTTTGTCTTGCTCTTACTGACTTATTTCACTTAGTATAATACCCTCTAGGACCACCCTTACTGTTGCAAATGGTAATAATTTCATTTTTTATGGCCAAGTAGTATTCCATTGTATATATGTACCACAACATTTTATACAGTTGTCTATTGACAGGCCCTTGGGTTGCTTCCATATCTTGGCTATTGTAAGTAACACCGCAGTGATGAACACAAATTAAAAATGAGTGAGGAGAATTAGTGTTTGGATTTCTTCAGATATATACCCAGAAGTGGAATCACTGGGTCGTTAGGCAGTAACATTTTTAGTTTGTTGAGAACCCTCCATATTGTTTTTCCTAGTAGCTACACCAGTCTGCATTCCCACCAACAATGCGCAAGTGTTCCCTTTTCTCCACGTCCTCGCCAATACTTGTTGTTTGTTGATTTATTGATGGTAGCCATCTGACAGGTGTGAGGTGATAATTTAGTGTGGTTTTAATTTGCATTTCTCTGAAGATTAGTGGCTTTGAACATCTTTTCATATGTCTCTTGGCCATCTGTATGTCCTCTTTGAAGAAGTGTCTGTTCAGTTCTTTGCTCATTTTTTAATTGGATTGTTATTTGTTTGTTTTATGGTGAGTTGTATGAATTCTTTATAAATATTGGATATCAACTCCTTATGAATATGTTCTTCCATTCATTAGGTTGTCTTCGTGTTATTGATGGATTCCTTTGTGTGCAAAAACTTTTTAGTGTGATGTAGATAGTACAAAAATAAAAAAAACTGTACTTTTGAAACAGGCAGTTGACCAGATTTGGCCTGTTGGTTCTAGTTTGCTGACTCCTTACTCTATTGGAATTTGAAAATTATAGACAAAACAATAAAGTCATCTTTCTACTCTCCCCCTTCTCTCCTCACTCATTTTTAAACTTTTGAAAATAATTTGTCAAAGCTGCGCAGCTAATAATGGCAAAGCAAGGATGTGAACTCTGGCAGTCATGTAGAGCTCACACTTTTGACATTCATCATTATGCCATATTGGTTTTACAACCAGTTATTAGAAATAATGGTGAATGTTTGTTCTGAATATTGTATGCTTATAAATATAGTGTGAATTTTGTTATGATAGGATGATTCAACTATATAGAAATATAAAAAGCAGAAAGTAAAAATCCTCTAGGAATCTCTAATCCCAGAGATAATCTCTGTTAAATTTTTTTATATCCTTTCAGATTTTCAATAGATATATAAAATAAATATTTTAAAAATATAAATAAGAATTTTATTAATGTATATTGACCTACAAGAACTCTATAATCATAGATAAATTTCTAAGTAAGAATATGTAAATCTACTTTATTCTTTTAAAAGTAGTATTTTAGTAAGATATCCCATACAGTTAGAATTTTTGACGTTTTATGTTTAAGTCCTTTTTAGCATATTATTTTCATATTTTGACTATTGGCTTTTTCTTTAATAGTATGAAGTATTCAGAACAGAAGAGGAGGAAAAAATAAAATCTCAGGGACAAGATGTTAAATCGTCAGTATATTTCATGAAGCAAACAATCAGCAATGCCTGTGGAACAATTGGACTGATCCATGCTATTGCCAACAATAAAGACAAGATGCATTTTGGTAAATAACTTTTCACTGCTGCTGTTTTCATCCCTTAAAGCAGTGGTTCTCAACCTTCCTAATGCCGCGACCCTTTAATACAGTTTCTCATGTTGTGGTGACCCCAAAACATAAAATTATTTTCGTTGCCACTTCATAACTGTAATTTTGCTACTGTTATGAATCGTAACGTAATCTGATACGCAGGATGTATTTTCATTGTTACAAATTGAACATGATTAAAGCATAGTGATTAATCACAAAAACAATATGTAATTATATGTGTGTTTTCCGATGGTCTTAGGCGACCCCAGTGAAAGGGTCGTTCGACCCCCAAGGGGGTCGCTACCCACAGGTTGAGAACCGCTGCCTTAAAGTATAAGCTAACTTATTGAGCACTAGGTGGTGCTCTAATTCTTTCTTTCAAAGTACTACCTAGAATATTTTCCTCCCTTCTTTCATTTATAATGGGGATGTATATACTGTTCGAAGAACTAATAATCCTTCTCATTCTTTCATATTGTTGATAAACGGAGGTTTAAGAAACAAACAACTTAAGCCTTATCATTTAGGCCAATATTCTTACATGCCTAATTTAACAGTGAAAAGGTTTTACCTGAAAAATAGGCAGCATGCTTCTAGTATTTTCATATACCAGTCTCTTTGAGATATCAAGCCTTTTTAATTTTATCTTGTTTAATATTCTCAGAATCTGGATCAACCTTGAAAAAATTCCTAGAGGAGTCTGTGTCAATGAGCCCTGAAGAACGAGCCAGATACCTGGAGAACTATGACGTCGGTACCTTCTATTTGTCTTGATTTTTATATGTGGGCAAAGTTTTATGGGATTGTAGATTCAGTTTGGGGGTTTGTCTTGAAGCTGTCATTTTGAACAGTTATGGATTTGGTTGCATCCATTAAAAAGGCATTTTTTTATGTTTCAGGTAACAGTACTAAAATATCCATAAACTACTGCTTCATTTCTATATCCAGAGCTGAATGAGAGAGAAAAAGCAGTTTGTTTTACAAGTTTATAAATATCTTATGGTAGACTATTTCTCACCATTCCCTCCCTCCAATAAATATATGTTCTGTATGTCTTTCCCGGGGAATTTGGAGTAAGGCTGAAGACAATGGAAAAAACAAAGGTTTAAGGGTAGATGTTAGATCATACTCTACTTCTTTTATCAGCATAATATTTTTGCATGTGTGAAGACAGGCCACAAAGTCTAGTTTTAAATGATTGTACCATTTCATAAAATTTTCTTAGAATGGTATTTAAATTTTATTATTTTTGAAATCTGTTTTTCTTTTGAAGGCATTTTACCTTTTTTAAAATTTATTGTTCAGTTGTACTTGACGTACGATATTATATTAGGCTTTCTACCTATTGGTAACATTAAGCAAATTGTAAGTTCTTTGAAAGTAGAAGCAGTGTGGTGTATATATTACTCAGCTAGAACAGTGCTTTACGCAGAGTTTGTTCCCAGTAAATTTATTGATTTGATTATTTATTTTTACCATTGTAATATAATTTGACTATTTTAAATTGTTTTTTTCTTTAAAAAACCTGCAGAGCTCATAAAACATCTTCATTATACATAAAAATGAAATAACACAAAAGTCAATAGTATCTCACCAATGAGATGTGGCCACCATTGATATTTTTTATAGGGAGTATATATGTATATACACACTTTTTAAAAACGAATATTTGATAACACTGTAATATTGTTTTATAACTTGCTTTTTTCACTTAACTTATCACAAACGTATTACATACCAGTAAGTATATATTTGACATCATCATTTAATGGCTGCATAGCTTTCCATTGTGTAGTATTTTATTTAACAAATAAATTATTGTATTTTTTCCTCTTTTCACTGTTTAAAAAATACAACCATTTTTTTATTTGTAAGTCTAAGGGAGAAGAGATCAATAGTCCTAATCTTTGCAAATAGCTAAATCTTTGCAAATATCCATAAAGATATATACTTATATACAATTATATGTAAATACACAAACTTATAGAAGAGAATTTGCTGGATCAAACTGCATGTTTTTAAGCTTTGATAATTATTGCTAAATTGCCATGCATTGAGATTGTACTTTCACCTGTAATTTACCACTTTGCCCATTTCTCTTCAACTTTGCTAATAGAGGGTATTATAAGAGCATTTTTTTTTAAGTTCAGGAAACTAAACTCTCTAGCTTCTGGTAAATGCATGCTTTTGCTCCACATTTCTAAACTTCCGCCTGAAGCTGCATGGTTAAGCATAACTACAGCCAGAGCTGCAGAGGAGCATGTAACCTGAAGAAACAGATGAGCTAAGCTTTTTCCGTCTCTCTCGTGAGATGCTTACTTCATTCTAGTCTCAGTTGAACAAAGTGTTAAATGTCAGTCCTAACAATTAAGTTAGGATTCCCACTTGCACCTGGAAATTACAAATAATTCAATATTCAATATCCTAAGTCTTCAGAGATTTGTGGGTTGGAAAGTACAGCAATTCATTCTTAAATATTCTTAAATACTTTAAATTAAACTTTTCCTGAATTTACTTCAATTTGTTGTTTCATCAGTATTTAGTATTGTTTTCATTTAAAAAGTAGGATATAATCATTTTCCCCCCTATTAACACCTTGCATTCCTGTTACAGGCTATTCGAGTTACTCATGAGACCAGTGCCCATGAAGGTCAGACTGAGGTATTTCACATTTTTCAAAACTCCTCTGCCATGTGTAAATTTAACCACAAGGTTATTATATAACATGTAGTTTAAAAAAATTCATTGGACTTCTTTTTTTCCTTTGAAGGAATTGGCTCTTATGCAAAAATTAGTCACAAAGTAGCACAAAAACACATTTTGACAGATTGTTAACAGGCACATTTATATCGGCCATCTCAGTTTGTCTAATTATTTAGATAGATTGCAGGTTGTGTGTTATTTGCTTTGGGTAACTGATGGCCTGTGACTTCCCTATAGCAGTGATTTTCAACCTTTTTCATCTCATGGCACATATAAACTAATTACTAAAATTCTGTGCCACCCCAAAATATATGTTTTTGCCAATCTGACAAAAAAGATAGGTCTAATTTTGGTTCATTCATACCAGACAGCTATTGTGTTGGCTTGTGTCATTTTTTTATTTGTAAGTCTAAGGGAGAAGAGATCAATAGTCCTGACTAAATAGGTATTGCATGTTTTAATAATTCTGTGATTTTGAAAATCACTGCCCTATGAGATTCCTTTGACTTGCAAATATTTTGAGAAAAATACCTGCACTGTAGTACAGATGGATAACTTGTATGATTTTTAAGAGTCTTTATCACACCCAGCTTCTAGCAAAAAGCTGCATCATTCTCTTTGCTCAGTAAATCTGTTTTGGGGCAATGCGATGATCTTCACCATCTTTACTCTGTTAGTGAGTTCTTCTAGGTTGCCTCTTCTCCTCTCACCCCCTTGTTTCATTCTAATGGTTTTCCTCATTCCCTCCTTCCATTTCTTCTTTTCTTCTCTCAACCTCACACTCCGCTCTTGGGGGAAGTTTGTGAAAAGGTATTTTAATCTAAGTGACTATAATTTAATTAAAGTCATTTGGTATATTTATAACACATTTAACACCAGAAGATTATAGATGTTTTTCTTTTTCACCCCATGTGTGACTCTAAACCATGCTTTTTAATGTACAAAGCTGACATTGCCTTTATGTCTTAACAATATTTTTTAAATACCTGACTTAAAAATAGTGAACTTAAATATTCCTACTACTTAAAATTTTTTAAGGAGACAACAATTTGATACTACGGTATAACAACAATTTTTCATAGATTAAACTGGATAACTGTGAATGTTTATAATAAAACCATTTAGAGATTTAAACACTAATTCTTCCTAATTATATCATACCTTCTTGGTTGCTGTCAGGTTCTGCTTTCAGAAATGTGGACTTTTGGTTTTTTGACTGTTTACACACAGACACACACATACAGATACACATGCACGCAAAGAATGTCTAAGTAGCTCCAGATTGGAAATTAATGAAATGCTCTGTTTTTTTTTTAATTGCTTTATATGATCCTGGTATGCTTTGCTTTTTTGTTTTTAATTTATAGTGTTAAGCCCTAGCTGATTTTACTCAGTGGTTAGACTTAGAGTGTTGGTTCATGGACTGCAGGGTCTCGGGTTCAATACTGGTCAAGGGCACATACCTCAGTTGCAGGCTCAATCCTGTTAGGGCGCGTGTGGGTGGTAACCAGTGGATGTGTTTCTCTCACATTGATGTTTCTCTGTGTCTCCCCCCCTCCCTTCCACTCTCTCTAAAAATCAATGGGGAAAATTATCCTCTCGGGAGGATTAACCAAAAAAAAAAAATTATAGGGTTAAAATTAGTAATGATGATGATGATCAGCATGAGATTTGTAAACTATGAAAACAGTTATTTGTAATAAAGGAACCAAATGCTTTAATACTTGTTTACTTTTTAAAAAGTGTCTTCAGGATACTTCTCTTGCCACCTTTTAGTTGCTTTATCCAAATTACAGCTTTACTGCCTCATGTTAGATAATGTTCAGATCTCTTTTTCCAGATCTAAACTGAATGACTAATATTTTAGAATGCACATATTCTTGTGTGAGTTTATTGTCCTGTGTCTTACACATTTTCTTCCCTGTCTACCATACATTTTCCCCACTAATACTAATGTAATTTAAATTTGTTTAACTTCTTGCCTGGAAAATTAGCTGCTTATGTAAATTTTCAGTCTTTAATGTTTTTTCTAATTCTCATTCATTTTTACACAATTGTGCTGGATTATCTTTTTTGAAATATAACCTGAATCATTTGCTACTGAAATTTTCTAGGGATTCCCTAAATGATTCTCAAGGTAAGGTGGATGGAGAAGTTAGGATATTCTAGATGGCTTTTTCAAATTGTATTCCCACAAGAATTAATCTCTTCTGCGAGTTTTGCATCTCCCATTCTTGGTGTATGTTATAGCCATAAAGTGTATTGGGGCAAAAAAAAAAAAAAGCATTTGCTAACCATTACCCAAGCATATGTAATAATATTCAGTCTCTTTAGCCTCCTTGCTCACCTGTATACAAGGTTTGCTTAACCCTTGTCCTTCCAGTTTTTTAAAAAATATTTTTTATTGATTTTTTACAGGGAGGAAGAGAGAGGGATAGAGAGTTAGAAACATCGATGAGAGAGAACCATCGATCAGCTGCCTCCTGCACACCCCCTACTGGGGATGTGTCTGCAACCAAGGTACATGCCCTTGATCAGAATTGAACCTGGGACCCTTTAGTCCACAGGCCGACGCTCTATCCACTGAGCCAAACCGGTTAGGGCCCTTCCAGTTTTTCACAGTGTTTTCTTTTTAATTATTTCTCTCTAGCCATCCCTCACTTTATTGTTGCTGTGTTTTACCTCTTGCAATTCCCTCTTCCTAAAAATACTCCTTCTTTCAATCTCTAGTCTTCCTAGGTCTACCTGCCCTTCAAGATTGGGCTTAAATACCACTTTCTTCATAAAGCAATCCATCCCTTCTACAGACTCTTTTATATGACTCCTATTATTTGTATTTTAACTATTTTCATTTATTTAAGATATATTTATTTATTTTAATCCTCACCCGAGGATATTATTATTGACTTTAGAGAAAGGAATGGGGAGGGAGAGAAGATAGAGAGAAACATCCATGTGAAAGAGAAACATTGATCAATTGCCTCCCGTATGCATCCCAACTGGGGATTGAACCTGCTGGGTAATAAAACAATATTACCCAGTAGCTTCCTGGGTATGGGCCCTGACCAGGAATCAAACCCGCCACCCTTTGGTATATGGGACAGTGCTCCAACCAATTAAGTCACCCGGCCATGGAAAGATGTCTATTTTTTGCACATTTTAGCAGCTCTGAAATTAGGATGTGTCTTATAGTTGACATCATAATTTATTTGGTGGAATTCCCTTATGTTATCATTTTATAATATAAATTATACATCTTATAACCAGTGGTTCCTTAGTTTTGATGAAATGTGGTGTCATATCACTCTTACTGTGGCTCTTGGGCCTCGGGTTGGTATCTGATTCATTTTGGCTTTCTCCAAAGTATCCAACACCATTCCTTGCACATAGGCACAACACATTTATGAATTCACCAGAATTGGCTCAGAACTATCCTTAGTGGTGTAAGAACTACCAAAAGAAAAAAAAAAAGGCTAAATCTTGTTTTTTCGTAAGCCCCTTAGTAAAGAAAACATATTCATTAGCCTTTATTCCTCAATAGGGCACTATACATTTTTGGAAAGTTTCAGTTCTTTGTTGTGTGGGGCTGTTTTGTGGAATATAAATTGTTATATTCTAGTCACTGTACAGGGATGGGCAAAAGTAGGGTTATGGTTGTGAGTACATGAAACACAGAATTTATTCTTGTATTGTGTATTTTTCCATATGAACAACTATGAATGTACTTTTGTCCATGCCTTTATTTCAGTGGTTCCAAGTGACTGAGAGAACAAAAACCAAATCATACATTTCCAAATCCAGACTTAACCAGCTTAAAACTCCTGCAGCAGGAACTATTTTGATAATCATCTCATTTCTGGTCCATCTAATACAGTGATGGTGAACCTATGACACGCGTGTCAGAGGTGACACGCAAACTCATTTTTTTGGTTGATTTTTTCTTTGTTAAATGGCATTTATACATATAAAATAAATATCAAAAATATGTCTTTGTTTTACTATGGTTGCAAATATCAAAAAATTTCTATATGTGATATGGCACCAGAGTTAAGTTAGGGTTTTTCAAAATGCTGGCACGCCGAGCTCAAAAGGTTCGCCATCACTGAGCTAACATCTAGGTGCTTAAGTCTTTGAGTATTATCTCCATTGCTTTCTATATGCTAGCACACTGGTTTTGTCATTTTCCATAAATATCTAGGTTTTTCACATTTGTTTTTATTTACTTGCTGCCATAACAGAACACTGAAGACTCGACTTTAACAACAGACATTTATTTTCTCCCAGGTCTGGAGGATAGAAGTCAATATTAAGGTGCCACCAGGGTTGGTTTCTGGTGAGGCCGCTCTTCCTGACTTATAGACAGGTGCCATCCACTGTGTGCACACCTGGCCTTTCTTTGTGCATAGGGAGAGAGAAAGAGAGAAAGGTCTCTTTCTTTTTTTATAAGGACACCAGTGCTGTCAGATTAGGGCCCATCCTTCTGCTTTCGTTTAACTTTAATTACCTACTTTAATTAACTTTAATAACTTTTATTACTTTAAGGAGTAAAAGCCCTCTCCAAATACAGTCACACTGGGGGTTAGGGCTTCAACATAGGAATTTTGGGGCAATATAATACAGTCCATAACACCATCTTTGTGCTTTCTTTTTTTAACAAAACAAACAAACATTTTTATTGACTTTAGAGAGAGAGGAAGGGAGAGAGATAGAAACATGGATGAGAGAGACATTGATCAGCTGCCTCCTGCACGCCCCCTACTAGGAATCGAGCCCACAACCCAGTTATGTGCCCTGACCAGGAATGAAACCGGTAACCTCTTGATTCATGGATCGACTCTCAACCATTGAGCCACGTTGAAATATAGATTATTATATTCTAGGCCCATCTTTGTGTTTTCTAATGACCAAGTTATCTTCTGGGTATACCCTTCCTCTTTGCGTAGTCAGCACCTTCTCAT